CACGAGACGAGGGTATCATCCGAATCGCACTATACTTTATACGCAACATCGCCATGCTCGCGCCCCCGAACAATGCACACATGGACACCGACGAAGCTGAAGTCTCCCGATCTGCAACGATTGATACTTTCCACGAGCAGGACATATTTCAGGTGATTCTGAGTATAGCGTCTAGTATCGGGGAGGACTTTGTCACCCAGGATGTTGTTATTCTCGAAATCTTGTTCTTCCTCCTCAAGGGCATCGATGCTGAGAAGTTGTTCATGGAAGACAAGAAGCTCAACATCAAGAACACGGACGAGCTTAAGGGCTTGATCCAGAAAGAAAAGGCCATGCTTGCAGGCTACGCCCGCAACGCACCAACCCGGCATAACCGATTCGGAACGATGATCTGGATGAAGAGGGACGACGAGAAAGTTACAACTATATCTGGGCAAGATGTGCTAGGAAAGGCGCAGGCTAGCATGCAAAAGATGGACGATACGAAGAAGTGGAATAAACCCCGCCGTCCCGGAAAGAAGCAAGCCGGCGATGAAGAGAGGGAGGAGTTCGATCTCCCAGTACCACTGACCTCTTCTGCGCGGAAACATATCAAAGCATTCGTCGAGGAGTTCCTCGACTCGTCCTTTAACCCTCTATTTCTGCATCTCCGGAAAGCTATCGAGCGCGAAACGGAGCGTGTGGAAACACGACACTCCAGGCAGTTCTTCTACCTCGTATCGTGGTTCCTACGAGCAGAGTGCGCACGGCGGCGGACGATGAAGGAGAGGGCCGCAGACCCTAAGAGTCCTGAAGTTCTGTCTGCTGAGGATGAAAGCTACGGACTAGTAGCCGAAGTCATGAATCAGGAGACCTTCATTCTACTCAACCGCTTCATGCAGAAGAGTCAAGATGAAAAGGCATGGCGAGACCTTAACGCTGGGCTGAAATGCTTCACGCAAATCTTGCTCACCGTGCATGAGATGTCCGAGTCAGGTCTTGAGGAAGACCAAGAGATTGCCGAGAACATTCAGAATCGCATCTTCTACGAAGAATCAACACATGACCGAATAGTCATGATCCTAAGGTCATACAAAGATCAAGGCTTTGGCTACCTTGATGCAGTTACAGAGCTTTCCCATGTCTTCCTGCGGATGCTCGAGCGCTATGCGAAGCAGAACGTTGATATGCAAATCCGATCGAAACGGCGAGCCCGAAAGATCAAGAAGAAGAAAGCTGAAAAGCAGGGCGAAGACGGAGAGGAAGAGGGTAACGTTTCTGAGACTGAAGACCTCCAACAAGCCCAAAAGACGGTTTCTGAACGCAAGTTCGATTTCATGAAGTTCTCGGCAAAGTTCGTAAACCAAAGCAGCGTCAACACTTTCGTTGCCTTTGCCAAGTACTTCAGCGACCTCGATACTGAGCAGCTCAAGCGTGCGCATCGCTTCTTTCACCGTGTCGCTTTCAAGATGGAGCTTGGTGTCTTGCTGTGCAGGGTGGACATCCTGGCGCTTTTCAACAAGATGATGAAAGGTCCAGGTGGTCTTGATCCAGAGTCGCCAGCTTACAGAGAGTGGGATGATTTTGTCAAACACTTCTTCAGGCAGGTTGTAAAGAGAGTACAAGAGAGGCCAGAGCTGGTAGTCGAGATGCTGTTTGACAAGATCCCTGCAACCATCTTCTTCCTTGAGCACGGTTTTGATCGCGAGATACACACTCGAGCGCCGCGAGCTCCGGCAGAGCTTGAGGTCAAACCTGGAATGGAGCTACCTGATCAGATTGGTGTCGCTGTTGGTGTTCTTGTAAATCAGTCAAAGTCGGATGCTCTCCGCTGGGTACGAGATGTGCTTACATCGGCAGCTGAAGAGCGCAAGGCGTGGGAAGAGGCAGCTGAAGCACAAAAGGCGTTGGTGGCTGACGTAGAGGAGCGTCCAGAAGGCGAGGCACCTGAGAACCCAGACACCGAAACCTCGAAGCCGCCATCGATCTGTAAGTATTCCTCTCACTGTGAGGAAGTCTGCTAACGGAGTCTAGTCATCAAGCACGATACCGAAGAACGTCGCGTCGCTATGTTCAAAGACAACAAACTGCGACTGCTCATGAACCTGGTCGGCTTCGAGAGATTAGGAGAACACCACGATCCGGACGCTTCATGGATCATACCTTCATCCCTTACTTCAACGCAGTTGCAAGAAGCCATCGATCTCATTCGCAAGTATGAATTCGATCCCCCAACATATGAGGACGGCAAAGCGCCAGAAGACTTGCTTCGTAGCAAGGCTGCAGCAGCTCGACGCTCCACTCGTCGGGCGGAGTTTGACGATGACTCTGACGGCATAGACCGCGACGAGGAAGAGGACCACGGAGAGTACGCCAAGGGTGGTCCCACTGAGAGAGATGCAGAAGCCCCTCGCAAGACACTGAAGCGACGACGCCGAAGGAACAGTCCTGTGGAGCTTGACGACGAAGAGAAGGACCGCAGAGCCGAGGCACGCCGCAAGAAGGAAATCGAGAAGCAAGCCAAAGCACTGAGTACCATGTATGTGCACGACTCAGACGACGAGGACTGGGACGCCGAGAAGGATGCCGCCTTCTTCGCGCGAGAACAGGCGATCCGCGAGGAAAACATGAAAGTCTTCAAGAAGTCACTCGTACTTGGAACTGTGGAGCCAGTCGCATCCAAGAAGCGAAAAGCTGATGCACCGGCCAAGAAGAGCAAGAGGAGAAAGAGTCCACCGAAACGGAAAGCGCCATTCGCCGATAGTGACGACGATATGGAAGATGCAGAGAGCAGTCAGGCTCCTTCCGTGGTTGATGGCAATGAGGAGGAAGATGAGGATGAGACTACAGATACGCCACTTTCATCGCAGAACGCTGGGGCAACAGCAGCACTTAGTGATGCGGATACGCCCAAGAAGCCAGTGAGTGATGCTGCGACAAAGACCACGGATGCCACGATGCCAGACGCAGAGACGGACGACGACGAAGACGATGCACCGGTCGCACGTAGACCAGCGGCGGCGCGCAATATGAGGGCTGGCTTTGTCATTGACAGTGACTCGGAGTAATATGTGCGGGTAACAACATTTTCGGCGTGGTCTGGAGGGAAGGGTTGCATAGCATAGCATGGTGTCTTAGGTTCGTGCTTTTCAGTGTTTGAATACCCATTATCTTGTTACTTCAACAGCGTGTTATCTCGTTCATGCTATGGTCACAGGTCCAAGATTGTTCTGCATTAGCCAAAAGAAGGTATACGTGGATGATGTCAAGTGCGGTGGCCGTTCAACGGCAAGGGTCGGACGATTGTAGCTTTCAGCAGCGTTTGCAGTTGCTCCTTCCTGTCGTTTGGTCACGACTGCATCTTTTCGTTCCATGACGTTGTTCTTAATCCGAGGTGGCTGCTTCGTACCTTCCTTGTTTACCTCCTCAAGGACAACATCATCCACAACAACAACATTCCGCGGGTAAGTCTTTCTTCCCCACAAACGCTGCACACCACGCTACAGCCATGCTAACATATTCAGATCGATACAGATTCGAGCAGATTCGCGCGCGGTGGGAGACGGCTCAGCCAAGTGAAGACGGAGCAGCGGAGATGGTGGGCTGGAGAGAAAAGTCGACAACTCACCTCCCGGTGGGTGGCGAGCCTCAGGAAAACAGCAGCAGCAAATTTCGGAGGAAGCTCAGCTATGGCTTCGCTTTCATATCAAATCCCCTCTCGCAGCGAAGGACGACCCCGGGACGTCATCAAGTGAATGTACCGTCATTGGCTGTTACCGAACCGTCTGCAACCGACATTACTACAACGAATTCTATATCCGAAGCTGCGCTTTCACCAATGCGTGTTGCGGCGCCATCCAACCACTCCAACGATGCGACCGAAGAGCCCGCAACAGTCCCGTTCAGCAGGACTTTGCCCAAAAGCGCAGATACCGATACCACACCGCAGCCACTCCCCCGATCGCGTACGCTGAGCTTCATCCCGCTCCCGGTTAGGGTCGAGCCTCAGTCGTTCGCCGCGGACGTAGAAGGCGCAGTCAAGTCGCATTCTCTCGCGGTAATGCCTCAATCAGAACCAGATTCGGTACCTTCGAAGATTCCTACTCCCAGTCCGCCATCCCTAGAGCGCCGTCGCTCTAGTCCACGCCAACACGTCCAACAGCACGTCTCGTACCGCGCTTCTCAACAGATCAAACACATTGCGACTGCCCACGCGTTGGCAGCCGCCAACAATGGCTCTCCCGTGAAGCATTCCTATCAGATGCGCTCACGTACGACACCAAATCTCGTCAAAACAGCCAACGGGCCACAGTCGGCGCGATATATGGCTCCCAGGCGGCCAGGACCTAAGATGTCTGTGGTATCACCAGTAGCTCAAAGGCCGCTTCTGCAAGAGAACATACCGACGGACAGACGTATATCACACAGGCGGTCGCAGATACAAGAGAGGACGCTGAAGAGGGAATCACTTGCAGTGCCCGGTACTCTGAACAATAGAAGGTCGTTTGGTCCGGGACTACAATATTCACAGAGCAGGGAGCCTAGCTTCGCGACTCCACCCACAGTAAGGAAGAGGATGAGCTCACAGCTTGCACAGCAGACGCCAGTGACAGTAAAGCGGATACAGTCGGAGGAACAAAAAGATACACCAGCAGTATCACCCCCGATATCGAACTCTGCAGCCGCCCCGCCTCACAACACCGACCTTCCAACATCCGCTCCAGATGCGAGCGATAATGTCAGGCCAGCCCTTCCCCGGCTGCCCACGGACAGAGAAAAGCAAAGGAAAACGCTAGGAACACCAAATGGTTTGGGCGGCGTCTGGCGGTCATCCCATGCTTTGGCGATGACTACACATGAGGTGAGCAGACTTCCACGTTCCCAAACCTTCCATAATTTTGGAAGCCACCTGGAAGTCGCTCCGCCAGTACCTCGCATCCCAGAGCAGTACAGGACAGCGTCTTTGTCGAACTTGGTCCAGTCAGTATGCATGAATCCGAAGAGCACGGTCCCGTCTCAACATGTTAGGGTGAGATCAGACGCGAGCTCGTGCGAATCGATACCCGAGGAGACGGATGAAGAAAGACTGAGTGTCACGCCGACATATACACCTTGTCAGCCTGGACGAGGGCTTGTGTCGTCAATGAAATCCACCGGATCTAGTTTCAGTCTGGCGGCGTTCCCCCCGGTACCGACCAAAGTTCTTATCAGAGCACCAAACACCGCTGGGAGCGTGTGGACCTATTCTTCCAGTCGCTTCCGGAGTAGACATGGGCAAGAGAGGTTCGACGTTGCTGACAATGAGACCTTGCAGGTCAAAGACTATATGCCGCCGCTTTACTGGGCTGGAAGATTCCAGTCTCGATACGATCAATGGCGTACCGATGCAATGAAAGCTGAACTTGACCCTACCCATCAAACCTCCGGCCTCTTGGGAGAATGCAAATTGAATCAAGACAAGCTGGCGGCGTGCTACATACTCGGACAACTGCGCGACCTGTGCACTTCCGACCAAGCAGCAGATAGCCTTTGGGTACGTTCTATCTGCGTCATGACTCTGAATCCATTTTACTGACTACGCCCAGGAATTCGAGTACAAATATAGGAGAGAGCACAAACTGCTCGGCAATCCGGCAGACCTTCCGCCGATGTCATTCCGTAAGCACGACGACAACACGACTTCTGCAGGAGCTGGAGCCTTTGGACGGGCCGTAAGGAAGCTGACCCCACGCAAGGCTAGCCTGATCAACCTAATGAAGGGCAAGGGCTGGAACAAATCCGATGACTCGACCGAGCGAAACCAGGAGACGTCCTCGGATGGTTCTTAGTTCTACTAGGATGATGGATGTTGTGGGAGGTGGTCGGCCACGTTACAACCTGGAAGAGAACACGGAAGTTGACGATGAGGTTACAATCATGTGAAACCTGCAAAGAGTGAAAGATGTTACGAGACACAACGATGGCAAAAAGGAAGCGCGAGAGTTCGAGATACTGTGCATGGCATGAGAACGTCAACACATCAACTTTGTGATCTGCACGGGAAGCGTGCATTGTTAGATATCCACAAAGAGGTAGTAATGTAATTCTTATGTCGACATCACGGTTTTGGTAAGACCGGTGACGGTCATTGACCGAGGTTTTGACTGCTGTGAGCATGATATACGTACAATTGATGTAACGACACGAGATTTGAAGCTTTTTTTGGCTTTCACACGCAAATAATCACGAGTCAGTAGTTCCTTGTCTGTCTGCGGTCTCTAACGGCTTATCCGATAGGCTTGGGCTTAGCAATCCGAGATCGAAACGCTCTTGGAAATTACTTCGGATTGTTGGAAGATCGATCGATGAGGTCTCCCAACAATTCGAATCAATTTTCAAGAGCGTTTCGTCCCCGGGCCGCTAAGCCCAAGCCTATCGGCTGAGCCCAGGACCAGACGTATGTATTCATAGTGCTATGACCAGGCACCAAGTCTCCCACATGATATGCGCCGTGACCCATCATAATCACCGTATCTGTGCCTCTACTCCTTCTTCTCAGGCTTAGGCGAAAGCTCTTCAACGATGTTGTTGGGATCTTTCCACGCCAACGCAACGTACTTGGTATGACTCCCCCGTGCGAAGACTTCTCCCTTGTTGTTGCTGAAGTTGATGGACGTGAAAGCGAGTGTTTTTCCGACTGGAGTGATGTAGTCAGCGATCGGGTATATTGAGCAAGGCATGCCAACATGATGGACTTACATTTATCACACGTCACCTCGGCCTTGATCAAGTCGCCGATTTTGCCGCCCGAGGAGAGGTAGGTTACGTTTAGGTCGGTGGATACGCCGGTTGCGAAGAGGCCGCGAGAGGCCACTGCGAGGGAGCCGCCGAGGTCGACTGGGTGGGGGTTGTGAGACACTGGTGTTTGAGTGGGGGGTTTGGGAGGGGCGGCTCACCCATGCTGGCTATTGTGCCGCCGTGGAGTATATTAAGGCGGTTCTGCGTTAGGTGAGTTTGGAGAACATGGTAGGAGACGATAGGTGGAATAGCACGAACTGTGTGCTCTTTCTGGATGTCTAGCTCGAACTTGACGCGTCCTGGGACTGCCGAGGTCACTCGGAGCTAGAATTGGTGTTAGCATGACAATGTACCAGAGCTATGAACTCTCATAACCTACACCGTCTAGTAGTCTTTCGTGTCGCTTTTATTAGCTTCGTGTATACATACTTAGGTGTTGGCGGTACCTTGGCTCCAGCCCAGAGTTCGCTCGGAACGACTCCCAGACCTAGCGACACGTTAGTAAATCTATAATGTTGGTCAATGACATGGTTGGTTAACCCACAGATCTCACAAACTTCAGCGCCGGCATGGTTGATGCTCACCCCGCGATGTGCGAAGAGTGATGTCGATGTTCCGCTCGGCAGTTGCCCACGTACCTCGGAAGCTAGACCAGGGTGGAGCGGAATTTGTGGGGTGAGCTTTCCGCTCGCTCGGCGCGTCATCAACTTTCTTTGGCGATTGGCGACCTGCGACTTCCACTTGCGCGACCCACGCGTCGCTACCGCCCAAACTCGTGGACCCTTTCTCTCCGAACATGATAATACGGCGGTAGACCGACATCCTCCTCTCCACATCCCCCACGATGTCGGCTTCATCTTCATCTCAGGCGCTGGAATACCTCGAGGGTCTGCCTGTCGCGACACACCGGCGGCTGTATGAGCAGCCTTCCACCGTGTTGGCGGTGCTCCGCTGCATGCTTCCACATCTTGGTGAGTGCATTTATTACGTCCGCAATCCTGTCGCTAACGGAGCCACAGCCAAATCCATAGTCTTTGCGATGCTCTACAGACCCTCATCCTTCCCCGTAGCCGACATGGACGCCTGGTTCAAGCCTTCCGCTAGGAAAGAGAAGGAACAGGCTCTCTTTACCCTCGAACGCCTACACATCATTGCCCCTGCTAAACAGGACGACGGTACCTTCTCGTGGACACTCAGCAAAGACTTTCAAGGCAGCCTGCGAAACGCCCTCGAGGGCTCCGGTACGCACCGCTCGTTCGGTGTGCCGGCGACCAGAGAAGAGAGCGGCGGAAAGCGGTTAAGCATCGACTTCCTCGACGAATACTCGCGATCGCAATGGGAGGGTATACTCTATTACTTGGTGAGCGGCGCGGCTGGACTTAGCAGAGACAGCATCGAGAGAGCAGAAGTCGGTCCTGGAACGAAGAAGCTGCTGCACACTGGCGATCTGGTGAGGACCGTACATGGAAGTCCAAGGATTACCAAAGACGGCTTCTCCTTCGTGCTGCAAGAGACGAACGCGCAAGTCTGGAGTCTGCTCATCGTCTACCTGAAAATGACCAACGAAGTAAGTATTGAACCCCACGAACCCTGCGACGACTGTCCTCTTCGAGCTCAGCCGACACCAACGAACATCGAATCTGACAACGACCCCCAGCTCGGCATGTCCGAAACCGAAGTTTTATCCTTCCTCTTCATGCTTGGTTCCCTAGAACTAGGCCAAGACTATTCCACATCCACCCTCTCCCCCACCCAATCCCAGATGCTCGAGGACCTCTCCTCCATGGGCCTTGTCTACCGCTCGGACAAGAACGCGCGAACCTTCTACCCCACGCGCCTCGCCACAACCCTGACCTCAGATTCCGGCAGCGCCATGTCCGCCTCCTCCAACGACATCGCCCAAGCCTCCCAAGGCAACGCCGGTCCCTCGGCATCCGCAAACAAGGGCTTCATCATCATCGAAACAAACTATCGCCTCTACGCCTACACAAACAGCCTCATCCAAATCGCCATCTTATCCCTCTTCACCAAACTCCAACATCGCTTCCCCAACCTCGTCTCCGGCAAACTCACCAAAGAATCCGTCCACAAAGCCGTTCAATCAGGCATCACGTCGAGCCAAATCATCTCCTATCTGACGACCTACGCGCATCCTCAGATGCAGAAGACTATTCCCTACATCCCGCCCACGGTCATGGATCAAATCCGACTTTGGGAATACGAAGGCGAGCGTGTGGAGACTACAACGGGCTACTTGATGCGCGAATTCGGCTCCGAATCAGAGTACAGGGATGTGCTGGGGTATGCGGGTGCGCTGGGTGTGCTGGTGTGGCAGAACGACGCGAATCGCTGTTTCTTTGTCAGTCAGGTGGAGCAGATTAGTGCGTATCTTAAGAAGAAGAAAGAGACTAGGGATATTGCTCGGGGACGGTAGATTTAATCCCGGGTCACGAGTTTCATTGCGGATGACTGAGGTGTATACATGGAGGGCTTGGATATGCAAGGCTACTCTGGGCTAGTCGCATTGGCATGGGCGTATTAGGGGGCAAGCATGGGCGTTTAGTGGGGAAACGTTTTTATAAAGATAGATGAGATGGTTGTGGCTGATGGGTCTAAGGGAGATGCTTGCATCTTCTAATCCCGATGCCCTGTCCGAGTATCCACTACGTGTGCGATTCCATGCCGAGCTGATGATATCCTCGTGCTACTCGATTAACCAAGTGGTATAGGGACATCATCAGCTCCGATGGAATCGCACACGTAGTGGATACTCGGACAAGGCTACTCATCGCCACTGTCATCTCCCAAATGCTCTCTCTCTCTGTCTTTCTCACAGGTGACCGCCAAAGCGGATGTAACAAGACCAGCCAACAAGCGCAAAGCAGAACTCCTACCTACCCAGCACCTCATACAATAAGAAAACTGAACACCCTAGAGCCTACGTTGATCTTAGACCGCCTGGTTTGCATGTTTTTATCTCAATGTAGGCTCTAGGGTGTTTAATTTTTTCCTAGGCTAACGTGCCAGGCTATCACAAACTTAGGGGACAGGCATTGGCGTTTAGTCGGGAAACGTTTGTGTAAACATAGATGAGATAGTTTTGCCTAATAGGTCTTAAGATGGAAGATAGTCGGGTCTTCTAATTTCAATGCCATGCCCGAGTATTGACTACGAGTAGACTGCGTTGAAGCTGATAACTTCGTACGATCCAATCCACCTGGTTGCTTGGGTGGGCAACCACGTGGATTGACTCGTACGATGGTATAGGGTCAATCACCATGAGCTCCGTCGCAGTCTGCTCGAGGTGGACGCTTGTGGCGGTTCTGATGACATAATGATCATTTGAACCATGTGAATGATCAAATGATCATTTTGTCATCGGAACCGTCACAAGCGTCCACCTAGTCAATACTCGGATATGGCATACCCATCGCCACTTCTATCCCCCCTCCCCCTAAGCTCTCTCTTCCCTTACAAAAAGAAAACGCACAGCGAATGTTGAAGACACCAGCAGAAGCAAAAGCAAAACTCCCACCCAGCCCTGTCTATCACAAACTCCAGAGAACCAAAAAAAAGCCATCCAACTCCAGATATGTTGTCGAAATGAAAGTCATCTACCACCCAAACTTCTCAACCTGAACATCGACATGCCTCCCCCTCCAAATCAACTCCGCACATGTATTCCGTACATCTCTGACCAACCCATCAGGCCCACTAACCACAACGCCACTCCTCGCATTCCCATGTACATCCTCCTCTTCAACCCACTCCCTCACAATCCCCCCCGCGTCCGGTCGCCCGGCAAGTGCAGTCGGCGGCGTGATGAGCACATCTAAACCCCAATCTTCTAATTCCTTTAGTTTATCTTCTGGGATCCAAAGACGGTGGTCGAGTGAATGCGTTATCCAGAGTAATTTTACTTTTCTCTGGGATCTGAAAGTGGATTCGGGGTCGGTGGGGGAAGGCTGTAAGAGGGCGTAGAGGAGGGGGTAGGCGACTGCTATGCCGGATCCGCCTGCGATGAGTATGGCTGTTGAGGAGGATTCTAAAAGGTCGAGGGCGTGGGATGAGCCGTAGGGGCCGTCGAGGCGGATGCGGAGTTGTGTAGTGGGGTTTGGGGAGGCGCGGGCGTGGCGAAGGAGGGAGTGTGTGAAACCTGGTTCGGATTGAGCGCGGATGAGGAGGGAGAACCAGGCGTGTCTTCCTTGGCCGTCTTGCGTTGATGTTGTCGGGGCGGCGGAGAAGATGGTGAAAGGATGGGATTGGATGCCGTGTTTGCGGGAGAGAGATGGGACGGAGATGAAGATGTGTTCGTTTGGTTTCCAGCCTTGGGTCATGTTCTTGGCTAGGACCGCGGATTTCTTCGTGTCGACTTCCCAGTTTGCGGAGAGTAAAAGAGTTTCGTCGTCTTCGAGGATTTCTAGTGTTGCGGGGTGGGTACTGGACTTCAGCCACATACGGTAGACTAGTCGGTCGACGAGGAAGATGGCGAGGGAAATGCCTACGTACGGCCGTGAGGTGTGGTGATGGAACCAGAGGAACACCAATCCAGCGACCTGAAGCACGATGTGCAGGCCTAGGAAGATCTCATACCACCTCTTCCGGAAGCTGCCCAGGCTGGTGAAGTAGATTAACTCATACGCAATCAGCGCGGCTAATCCCAGCAGTACGACGCGGTTGAAGATGAATCTCGCCAGCGTAAACCCTAGATGCCTCAACATGCCATACCACACAGCCACCATACCAAGAAAGTGCAGGAACGCTTCCAGACACACAAGCTCTCCTACCCTCCTATGGAAGATGTTCAGACTCTCATACGAGTATCCCGTCAACAACTTTATCGGCTGGTTTTTCGCAGCGAGAAGGTAGAGAAGGGGCAGATTCGTGATGAAGATGATTCCGCATCGGTCTGCGAAGACGAAGAGGTACATGAAGGAGAGCGGCATGCGGTATAAGTTGTAGAAAATATTGAGGCCGATCCAAGCTAGGACGAGCAGCGAGACGGCGTTGGTAGGCAGTGTTTTGTTGACAACAGGTATAGGTCGAGGTTGGTATTGCAGCACAGACTTGAGCTTGTAGTAAGGACGCCATACTACAGATCTCGTCACGCGTGGGGGTCGCTGCGAAGGAAGCAGAGGGCTCGTTTCATCGGCCTCTTTTATTTTCTTCGCTGCGGTGGTATCGGGGGGCGTCGCATTCCCTTCAATAGTACTACTCGAGCTACTCCAAGCCTCTGCCTCTTCTTCATGCGCCGTCTCATCATCCCCCTTCGTTGTACTGGCTATGCGCCTCTTCCGCCGGTGCAGCACGATCTTCTCGGACCAATGCCATACTGTGAAGATCAGCAGCACGCCCAGCAGCACCAAGTTGTACGTGTTCAGAAACCTCCGACTGAACAATATGGCCTCGACGAGTTTGCGGAACCGCGGGTCTTTGCCAGGGTCATCCGGATCGACAAGGTCGCCTCCGCCGGCGGCTTTGAAGGCGTCATAGTCGTGCGCCCACCAGGGGGCTTTAGTCGATGCTGTCGCTGTTAGAGCGAAGCGGAGGGCGTCGCGTAACCATGGCGGTGTCGCTTCCATGGTGAGGGTTGGGCATGTGGAGAGGAGGATGTCTGGGAGAGTAGCGGCATGTCAGATGGAGTAGTGTTCCAGAGTTTCCCCACATGTACTCGCGTCATCTCACGCGCGTGCGTGCGCGGGTTGTCAGGTGCTGCCGATAAGCTTATCGGGTCCTGCCGAGGCGCGCGTAGCTTCATCGAGATGCGATGCCATTCCATGCCGAATGCGATGGAAATGGGGTCGCGATCCTGTAGTACGCATGCCAGAATGGTATCGAAGAATTAGCGCGTAGTACAGCCCACCTGGACATCTTCAAGTGCTAAACTAAGCTTGGTATCCTGCGTCACACAGCTCCTCGTAGAAACCGCATGCACTAACAAATATATTCGAGGCGATTTCATTTATCCGCTTTCTTTGATCTGTCCCTACTAACATCTATTTGTTCGTCCACTTAGCCTGCTCCTTCGCCGCAAAAGCAGCCATACCAATCTTCTGATCCTGGCTTCCAAACAGACCATGGAAGACTCTCCTCTCATACTCCACACCCTCCCTGATACCAAGTTCCTGACTCTTGTTCACAACCTCCTTGGCTGCCTTGACAGCAATCTGACTGTACCCCGCAATCTTCTCCGCGGTCTTGATAGCACCGCTAACACACTCCTCGGGTGTCTCGAACACCTTTGCGACAAGACCCCAGTCGCTTGCTTGTTGCGCGGTGATGTTGTCGCCAGTGAGGATGACCTCCATGGCTCTTGACTTCCCAATTGCCTTGGTAAGGCGCTGCGAGCCACCTGCACCGGGTATGACGCCTAGCTTGATCTCGGGTTGTCCGAACACGGCCTTGGGCCCCGCGTACATGATATCTCCCATCATGGCGAGCTCACAGCCTCCACCTAGCGCATATCCGTTGACGGCGGTGATGAGCGGCTTCTTGAGGAATGTGATGAGATCCGACCAGGACTCTATGAAGTCCTTGCCGTATGCGTCGCTGAAGGTGAGGTCCTTCATCTCTTTGATGTCGGCACCGGCTGCGAATGCCTTTTCCGATCCGGTGAGGACGATGGCGCCGATAGATTTTGAGGCTTGGAAGTCGCGGAGGGCTTGGTTGATCTCGAGGATGAGCGGGGTGGAGAGGGCGTTGAGGGCTTTGGGACGGTTGATCTGGACTTGAGGTTGTTAGTCCAGACACATCTCGTCAGGGGTATATGATAGTAGTTGAATAGAAGGTGGTAACATACTCAAACCAACACCAGGTCGAGCCACCGACACAAGCAAATGCTCGAATGACCTCTCTGTCGCATATCCCCTCGCAAGTCTAGGTAGACCCGTTGACCGGAATTGAGAGGCGACCCTCGGTGTTGATCGTAATGCCTGCATGTTGAGTGTGTACAATTGAGCTTTGACTACGAGTCCAGCTCAGGCAACATGTGTTTACATTGAAAGAGAGCAGAGCTCCAACAAGTGGGTAGCATCGGCACCTCGGTAAAGCGCGCCCGCCAAAAGAAGCCCGTACCAACATCCCACTTCGACGCGACTAGCGGCCCTCGCTACCTTGGTCCTAGCGCGTTCTGGGCGGGCGCCGGCGATCTAAGCCCCAGCCTTGCGACGCATCTCAACTTTTTGACACGATTCCCTCAACAAGCCGTCGCCTCCGCATTCACCCACCCACGCCTTCCTACGCGGCGCACCCACTCCACCCCTCGGCCATCACCACACACCCTCCCACCCCCGCCGCGACGCAACCATGGACTCGCCCGAGCCCGATACCCCTTTCAGCGCCGTCACAGCACAAACAACCAAGTACGGGCGCCTGTTCCAGACGTACCTCGACAAGTCAACGCCCTACACACCCTACCGATGGGGCGGCACAGCGACGCTCTTCCTGCTCTTCGGCCTGCGCATCTTCTTCGCCCAGGGCTGGTACATCGTCGCATACTCGCTCGGCATCTACCTGCTGAACCTCTTCCTCGCCTTCCTGTCCCCCAAATTCGACCCCGCGCTCGAGCAAGATGAGGGCATGGAGGACGGCAATGCGAGCGGCTTGCCCACCAAGGAGGACCAGGAGTTCAGGCCGTTTGTCCGCAGGCTGCCCGAGTTCAAGTTCTGGTACTCGACTACCAAGGCGATTGCTATTGGCTTCTTCTGCAGCTGGTTTGAGATTTTCAACTTGCCCGTCTTCTGGCCCGTGTTGGTCGTTTACTGGTTGATTCTATTTGGCTTGACGAGTAAGTTGATTCTGGGATGTGCGTATGAGTTCAAGGCTGACATTGGTGTAGTGCGACGACAGATTCAACACATGATCAAGTACCGCTACGTCCCCTTCACCGTCGGAAAGACTCGGTACCAGAACGCCAACTAAGTCGGTTCGATCGACCGACCATCTGCTTTCACTTCGTCGGATAACGGTCTGGAACTTTGGCAAGGTTGCCATCAACGGCTGTTTTTGGGCATGGGCGTCTTTTTCCGGTCCGCAATAGACTTCGAGCTTCATACTTCGCAACTCGGGGTTGCTCTAGGGAGGGGGTGCTGCCACGATAACGCGTTGGATGTTATATCATGTGTACACGTAGCAGGAAAGCCATGAAGCTTATATCTTTAATATCAGGACAATGTACTATGTACGCATGCACAGGTGAAGATATGTGCAAAGAGAAGATTCTAGGTATCTGGCAACAACTACTGATGTGGAAAACAGCTTTGGGACAAGGAAAAGAAAGACAAGCAGCCACCGATGCTACAAGACAAGGCAACAAGAAGAAAGAGATAACAGAACAACCTACTCCATACGCAAAGCAGGACCCTCAAGCTTCAACTCCGCCAAACTCGTCTTCCGCAACCCCACCTTGACATCCTCGCGCTCAATCCCCACTTCCTTTGTGCAAATCCACGTAGAAGCGTACATATTAACCCTATACTCATAAGTCAGTAAAACAGATCTCCGCGACATCCAAGGGGGATGAAACATACCGATCAATACAGCTCCCCGGCACCCTCACAGCCACCCTCTTAACCGCGAACCCACATTCACCAAACACCTTGACATACCACGGTTCCAAGCCCGCAGACCGGAGCATGACCCGTCCTTTTACCTTCAACGCGCGGTTCAGCGCCCGGATCTGCTTGAGTGCTTGCTGGCCAGAAGGTGGGAACCAATCCATGCTATCCATCACCACGACGATGGTCAGTGTGCCAGGTCGCATTCTAGCAATGACCTCGGAGATCTCGTCTGTGTGGATGCGGAGACCGTTGAACGCGTTGGGTTTACTGAGTTTGATATGCGATTTCGGGGAGAGGTATGTGGGGTGGGATGTTGGTGTGTAGTGGCCCAGGAGGGTGAGGAGGTAGTAGTGGTTTGATGTGGAGAGCAGAGTAGTGTTGATTACGGGCTCAAAGGTGTTGAGCACGTATTCGTAGATGGCGTTTCCAGAACTCGATTTGAGTGCGTCGTCAGAAGGTTCTTCGTGGAACGCCATGTAGTCTGCTGCTGCATCTGACTTGGGCACCGAAGGTGTCTTTGTCTCATCAAAGTCGTCGGTTTTCTTGAAATCAGCTTCGATGACGGCGCGTTGGGCGGGGGGCACGCCGAGCGCTTTCCAAAGCCACTTTTCGTTGCCGAGGATGGCCCAGGTGAGGATCTTGGAGTGGAGAACGGTCTTGATGGAGCGTTGCCAGATTTCTCGTTGTTCGTTCAGGGTGGATGCTGTGCAGAGTTTTTGGACGTCCGAGGTCATGCCTAGGAGGTGGAAGAGCCAGCCTGCGATGGAGAGGGCGTTACCGGAGCCGCCGGAGTAGTAGAGGCCTTTTGACGAGGAAGAGGAGAATACCGAGGGCCCGTTGTGTAGCCAGAACTGGAAGGCTTCGGATGAGAGGTGCGGGCTGAGCTTCTGGATTAGGAGATTGTGGAATTCCGGGTGCTTGCCTTCGCCGAAGAGCTTCCAGACGTCTTGGTAGGGGAGCGCGGTGAAGGCGGCGACTTTGAGCTCGAGGAGGTGGTTTTGCGATGGGTTGAGGTCGACGGCGTGGACGCGGCGGCAGTTCTCGAGACAGAAGGCGAGGATGTTGTCGCCCGCTGAGCCGATTGCTAGCACGACGTCGTTGGAGGTTGGCTTGAGGAGGCGCATGTCTGCTACATCGTCTTCCCAGGTGAATGCGTAGATGTATGAGTCGTTGAATCGAGTGTGTTTAGGCAAGGACGAGTCGTAGTGTATGCGCCAGTGGTGGTTCTGGTACCATGTTGCCGGGAGTGGGAGGCTGGATTGTAGGTTTACTACCGCGGACTCGTAGGCCTTTGAGTGCACTTCGACGTCAGTCTGCGTAGCTCCTGTCTGGAGGTCGAGAGCCGTAAGGTAGGGCGATTCAGTAGCAGCGGCATCAATCTCAGCGAGCTTCTGGGTAGAGGCGCCGTGATCTTTCGAGCAACCGAGCCAGATGAAGTAGGGGAGCTTGATACCAGTGCCGAAGAAATTGTTGCGAGCGTTGATACTAAGTACTGTGCCAAAGCGGTACTCCAAGTAGTCCTACGAATTGTTAGAAGCTATGCTTATTTGATGGAGATTTGACATACACGTCGTGCAGGCTCAAGGTTGACACGGTCAATTTCAAACCATGTCCGCCAGAACACACGTGAAATCCACATGCAGTGACGATCAATAGCACCACCCATGTAGTTCCTACCCATAAAGTCGACCTGGTTCTGCACGTAGAAGTCGACGACACCGATAACGCCGTTGGGGCTCATCAAGCTATCGATTGAGTCGATGACGGGGTAGAACTCGGGGATCATGCTGAGAGCATAGCTCATAGTGACAAGCTCAGCACCACCAGCATCAGCGTTCTCGTCGAGGTCGCGCACAGTTTGCTCTTTGGAGATCATTTCCTTGCGTTCGTATGCTTGCGGTTCGTGTTCGTGGAGACGGAAGGCGCGCGCGTCCTGGCAGATGACCTTGACGTTTGTCCACCCGAGACGGGCGAACCTTTTCCGGGCCATCTCGCAGAGGGAGGGGGAGAGGTCGACGACATCTGTGTGTATCAGAAACGCTTTCGTGGGTTGAGTTCTTCTGACTTACAGACTGCGCGAAAGAAGCTCGCCACAGGAACGAAGGTGTTCATCTGCTCAACACTGATACTTCGTCAGCAAGGCAGTATCCGTATCATCTACTGGGTACTTACTTGTGACCAGTTCCTCCGCCAATCTGGGATCATTAGCACATCGACCGTCATCCAAGCCTACTGTCACGTACATCAACCCAGACTGGTCGTTGCGAGATTAGGCCCGCTTCGGTACGGTGCTTCAGCTGCCCAGCGACCAGTCCCAACATATCCTCACGGCCTCGAAGAAGCTTGAGCCGGGTGGCATCGTAGACGTCGGCTTGAGCTTTGTAGAAGCTTTCCTATTCATTTGGTCAGACAGATTCCAAGTTTTGTCCCTTCTTCAAACGTACCAAAGCATCTTGCTGGCTTCCAGATCCGTCTCCAGTATGAGGCTTCAAGAAGCACCCATAGATGAACTTGAGGTATGCTTCGAACGTGCTAGGCGCCTGATCTTTGTTCTTCGGTCTGAACGCCAGAGCAAACACCACCGTAAGGAACACACCAACAAGACACAGCGTAACCGTAAGCTGGTGAAACGGGTCAATTGGAACAAAACTTGAGAGAGCCTGCATAGCTGCGACTTCACAACAAGACAGTAGAAGCAATGATCAAGAGAGGAGAGGGGGGAACGACAACAAAACAAAAGAAACCCCACAAACACCATGGAGGGGTTATATGAGCCCTCATTCCGAGTCCCCCAAGCATCATTCCGACTTCGGTTCGGTCATCATACATACCCGCATGCCCCAATAGACAAGGTCACCCCGCTGCGCAGCCTGGCGTACGGGCTTCGTCCTCGTGTCTCGCGTCACCTAGCAGCCAATGACCCTCACCACATGTTCTGAAGATCGCTCAAACAGCGCCCAGACAGCCTACCAGAGAAACCTACCTTCCTTACTATCAGCATTACGGAACTGCCCTGAGTAGACTACCGCACCACCGCTAGAGGCGGCTATGCAGGGTCCTAATAGGACCGAAAGTATCTCCAGATCTTGTATAGCAAGAGTCTAGAGAGGGAACAAAGACGTCAGTTCGACCTATCGGGTGGTGGTGTTGTTGCGCGTGGGTGAGACGTGCCTGGCATGTTGGTGTTGAGACGGGGATGGTTGAGGTTGCGGTTGGTGGGGTCGGTGGCCAATCAGAGGGGAAGAGGGAGGGCGTGCCAGAATGCAGGGACGTCGAACGCATGGAAGGAGCGCGACCGTGGCTCGGCGTTGTTTCCTACATGCAAGTCACTTTGGGTTATCGGGTGCGAGTGATGATCCCGGACGATGTCGGCAGCTGCCAGCCTTGCGCGGGCGGGTTGGCTAGGTGTGAGACGTGAGGACGCACCAGACACTCCGGCGAACCATCTTGAAGGTATTGTAATCATCCTGTATACCAGAGTACATCTTCAATGACCAGTCTGAACCAAGACTAGGCCGCAATCTAGATCAAAGGCTCATTCTCCTCTTCGCCATGCGTGAGACTTGAGGCGCGGCTATACCACCTGGTAAGCTCATAGAATTGTTGTATCAGCGAGGTGTCTCTTCAATACACCTGAAGGTCAGAACCAACTCGCTGTCGCTGACCTTGTTCTTCTTCCATGCGCGTTTGCTTAGAAACCCTTGCGTCGCCGGTTGGTGGATGTGCCGGCTGACCTCCATGTGCCACTGGTGTTGAATCAAGGAGAAGTCTTTGACCAGCACTGTGGCTCACCAGTATAAAGCGTGATTGTAGGATGGAGAGCGAATGTCAGCAACGGAAGAGGTATTTCCGGTACGTTGTTCGCTTACGTCGTAACGATGCCATCTTTATCTCGTCCTAGAACCTACATATCGCCACATTGGGGACGGCTTTCAAGAGTTGTGATGTGCGAGATGCAAGTGTATCGAAATTTTGCAAGTCTTTGCTATCGGTATCGTGGTGGGACTCGAACCCTCAGACTGGCTATTTTCAAGACCCTTAACCATCATCTGTATCAGTATTCCAAGGTTGGGGTAAACGTAGTGTAGGATGTCTGAATATCTCGAGGCCATGTGCTGTTTACGCTATATTCAAATCAACTCACAACAAATAACTGAAACCCAACCCTTGTTGCTCATAATCGTCAATTCCGCTATGGTACTATGCTGAAGGTTTAAGTATTATTACAAGCCCGGCATGAGAGTGCACGCATGCAGCGGCTACACCACCACCAAACTACACCTTAGGCGTAGAAGTTGACAGTGTCCTTCTTCTTTGCCTGTACCTCAGCGATAGCATCGACGTAGTGCTCGTGGCTGATCTTCTGGTGACCGGTCCGGAGAGCAATCATACCAGCCTCGACACAAACAGCCTTCAACTGCGCACCACCAAACTCGTCAGTGCTGCGAGCCAACTCTTGCCAGTTGACAGCGTCGTCGACAGTCATCTTCCGCGAGTGGATACGCATAATCTGTGCGCGGGCCTCCTCGTTTGGTAGCGGGAACTCGATCTTCCTGTCCAGACGTCCAGAACGAAGCAGAGCGGGGTCCAAGACATCAACTCGGTTCGTCGCGGCAAGAACCTTGACACGGTCATCGGAGGCGAAACCGTCCAGCTGGTTCAGCAGCTCTAACATAGTTCGCTGCACCTCCCTGTCTCCGGACTTCTCGGAATCGAAACGCTTGGTACCAACGGCATCCAATTCGTCGATGAAGATGATTGAGGGTGCCTTCTCTTTCGCCAGGGCGAAGCAGTCGCGGACCAACTTCGCACCATCTCCAATGAACATTTGTACGAGCTGTGGGCCGGCGAGCTTGAGGAATGTGGCGTCGGTTTGGGCAGCGCAGGCTCGGGCGAGAAGGGTCTTTCCGGTTCCGGGGGGGCCGTACATCAGTGCACCTACGATCGTTAGCACATGTCTAGAGATGAGCACATGAGTTGCTTACCCTTCGGCGCCTTGATGCCAATCTTCTTGAAGCGCTCGGCCTCCTTCATAGGCCACACTACAGCCTCGACGAGCTCTTCGATCTGCTTGTCAAGACCTCCAACATCGGTGTACTTCTCAGTTGGCTTCTCGTCGACTTCCATAGCCTTCACCCGACTGTCGTACTCTGCGGGTAGGGTATCGAGGACGAGATATGAGTCCTTATTCACACCAATGAGATCACCGGGCTTCAGCTTCTCATGGTCTACTAGACCGATGAGAGGCAAGAAGATGGTTTGCCGAGTTGAGGTCTTGATGACCGCCGACTTGCCAACGCGGGTGGCGTCTAGGTCAATGTTTGCTCCCTCCTCAGCCGCCTCTTCTGTGACGTCAAGATCAAGGATCTCGACAACGTTTCCGACGAGGTATGGTAGTTGCCTATAAGATGTCAGTGTGTTGTCCACGAAGTCGCCTCAGTCCGGCGCGCTGCGGGGTGACAGCAATCACGTCAATGACATACCTGTTGTTCTCGATCTTCTCTAGGTTGTCCTTGATCTTCTCGTTCATAGAAGCCTTCTCGTGTGTGAGCCGTTGGAACTCGCTCTTCATGATGCGCATGTCGTTCTCCAGTAACCGCTTGCGCGCGACGATGTCTCGTGTGCTTGAGTTCAGGATCTCTTCGTCGAGCTGCTCCTCCTCTGGTTCCGCATCCTGCATCTCTGCATCGCCATCAGCCTTCTTTCCATCCTTGCCTCCGTCTTTCTTGTCATCGTCCTTCTTCTCTTCCTTCTCGTGGCGCTCAAGGTCGTCGAGATCTTCGAGTGTGGACATGGTGGCGGTGTTGTGAGAGCGACGTTACGCGGTGTGGGTTGATAGAGATGACTGGATCGGTGCAAGAGTGATGGTGGTGAATGACGCCGACAAAGAGGTTGTTGCGGTGCGGCGGTGATGTGGAGCTGTAGAGGCAGCTATGGATTACGAAGGTACGCACCAGTGCACGGTGAGAGACCCTAGCTCCGATTGTCTTGGCGTCTGTGAACGCCGATCCGTCGCGCGCAACAACGCGCGATAGATGGGAAGTGTCATTCTGTCAGTCTGCAGCTTTATCAAGAAAACTGCGATGGTACTAGAGGGTAAATTTAGAGATCATGCGGTTCTATACAAAAGGACCTGTTCGAACACCCGCAGGTATGGACAAGATTCAACACGTGTGATTAGTACGATGATGCTGAGTAGGTTCAGTTTGCTAAGCAACAATAATAGTGTTTAATCGAGATGTTTCATGTGAGGATGAAGGTGATCGTACTGGTGAGGGAAACAGGAAGCGACTGCGATGGGCTTTTAGGTACACACCATCTCGTGTGCGTCAACGCCTACACATGGGTTGGAGCATTCGCATGCAAGCGAGGTGTCTGAACGTCGGTTAATAAATATCTTAGATGCCTACATAGGGCTACTTACTATTCGTTATAGTGGCCTAAAGGCCCTGTTCGAGGATACGTATACTGGCAGTATGGTCGTTGCGCTTGTCGTTGAGGGGACCGCAAAAACCTCGCGATATATTTGTTCGAGTTTTCAAAATCTTCATCCACTCCTCAACGAGGCACCTTGGCCTAATGGTAAGGCGTTGCTTTCCGGTGGCAAAGATTGTGGGTTCGAGTCCCACAGGTGTCGTTCTTTTTGCCGTCGTCTTGTCGGCTTCTTTTTGCGTCTTTCTGCATCTTTTTGCTTTTGTTCCCACCTTGTCAGAATTCGCTCTTCGGATCGTGAGGCATGCCAACGAGGCCACTCACTGGAATTCACGCTAGCCCAATTCTAGTATAGTCTTAATCGTATGATTGAGCGAACCTCCCGTCTTTAAGTCGTGGTGCAAAGATCCGAGGTCGCGTTCGGTGGTTAGAGAGCGTCCTTGCCATACTAAGCTCCTGACATCCGAATCTCCTTACCACCAACCCACCACATTCTTTTGTTGCACTACATGCTATTAAGTTCGGTATCTCGTGTGTAGCGTTTCTGATTGATTCCCTTTAGTGCTTGACAAATCTGTGTCATGTTTACGGCAAGAGCACTCCGGTGCGCTCATGCCACATCTTTTGCCCGACGTGCCGCGCTTCACCCACCATATCTACAGGTTAGTCTAAACACACCACATTTCTTTGAAAGTACTGACGCAACTACTAGGCGTCAATTCGCCTAAACTCGTCATCCGCCATTGATACGGCCAATGAGCAAAGTACGCAAGATGAGAGACAAACAGATGCTCCGCAACAGGAGGAGGTTGAACGGCGGGTTCCAGAAACACCTGGTCTCGACGCCATCCTTGGTGTAGAGAACATGAACAAAGCCAGGCGACTACACTTTGAGACTAAGAGACTTGCCCATGAGCTTGATCGGGTATATGGTCGACAGCGCATCATCCGGAAAGTAAGCCCATATAGAGTGCGAATTGGGGCTACACCTTTTGCGTTCAACAAGCGCGCCGAGTCCGAGACGCACCCTGAAGTCCGAGACGGGAAGATGTTCCTTGTCGATAGACTAATACCAAGCATCTGGTTGCGGGACAATTGTCAATGCAAAGTTTGCACGCATGACGCCACCAAGCAACGACTTCTGGATACATTTTCCATCCCCGAGGACATCTCGATCAAGTCGCACTCGGCTGAAACAAGAGGGTCTGAGACGGTTCACAGAATTGAATGGAGTGATGGACATGAAAGCGAATACTCGGGGCCTTTTCTCTCCCAAGCTATAAACAACGCGAGGTTGAAGGCCGTACAGCGTCAAGCTTTGGTCGACATCAAACCCTGGGACTCATCCATCGCTTCGGGCCCACCAAAGACTCTGTATGCTAACGCGATGAATCCTAACAGCAACGACCTACTTTTCAGGCTGCGCAGATTCGGATTCTGCTACGTCGATGAGACGCCTTTCGAGAACCCAGAGGCCACGAAGAAGATGCTGGGAAAAATAGCCTTTATTAGGGAAACGCACTACGGCGGCTTCTACGACTTCACGGCCGACCTAGCGAGCAAGGATACCGCATACACCAACATCGCACTAGAAGCACATACAGACACTACTTACTTCTCCGACCCAGCCGGCCTACAGGCTTTCCACCTCCTTTCCCACACCGACGGTGAAGGCGGTGCAAGTCTTCTTGTCGACGGCTTCAAAGCTGCGGACGAACTCTGGCACACCGACCGCAAAGCATACGAGATTCTCTCAACGGTGAATGTTCATGGACACGCCTCAGGCAACGAAGGCATTTCAATACAACCCTACCGTGGCTTCCCCGTCCTCGAGCACGACACCGCTACGGGCGACTTGCTCCGCGTCCGGTGGAACACGTCAGATAGAGCATCTATTGAGCTTCCTATCGAAGAAGTTGAGACATGGTACGACGCAGCTCGCAAGTTCGACGCGATACTCAAGAAAAAGGAGAATGAGTATTGGGAACAGCTTGTGCCGGGTAGAGTGCTCATCTTCGACAACTGGAGAGTGCTGCATGGACGGAGTAGCTTCACAGGGAAGCGCAGGATCTGTGGGGCGTACATCAATAGGGATGATTGGATTAGCAAGTTCAAGATGCGGCATTTTGGAGAAGAGAATGTGCTGAAGGGGTTGGCTGTAAACTAAGGATGGGAGTAAGGGGGTATCAAAGAAATAGAAAGTATCAAGACATCGTGTTACTGGACGGATATCACTAGTCGTGTTTGTGTGGAACATTTCTCAACGGTCAAAAGTAGTGTGCTGAAACTTGATGTCTGGTTCATCAGAACTTATGTACACCCGCACTATAAGGAAACCATTCTCTTCTCTTGTATCAAACGTTTACCGACCACCCCTCTCCTGTTCCAGCTCCAACTCAGCCTGGCGGTAGTACTTGGCTGTGTCCACGCCGTGGTAGGGGTGGTTGACAAAGTTTGGCCATGCGAGGATGTGCGAAAATGTGGAGGAGTAACGCGAGTTCCTGTGCGCAACTCCCTGCATGTACTCGGTCATCTCGGTGGTTCCGTACAGCGACTCGCCCTTCTTGACCTTGTCGACCATCTCGCGCATGTCCATCTCGACCTCGCGGCGGTTCTCGCGGGCACCGTAGAAGCGCACTGTCGTAGATGTTAGTATCCAATCCGTCTTCTCTATATCCAGACTAGCTCCACATACTGCATGACCTCGAGTAGACGAAAACAAAGGCTCCGGTAAGACCGACAGCACCGCTCAGTCGCATGATGGGTGCGAAACCGCCCTTGCCGACCATGGAGGGCGAGATCTTCTCCCAGTACATCATCAATCCGGGGCTCAGGGCTCCGAGCGCGGCACCTTGCGCCCAGTCGGACGGACGGGCATACCGAATGACTCGCTTGAAGTGTCTTTATCTGCAGTCAGTACTCGCATGCGTTGGGTATCGTGGAGGAGCGTACGGGTCATTGTCGATGAGCTGCCATGTATTAGCTACCACCACCCATTGCGCATCTTTTCGCGCTGCAATTGACTCACAGGGTACTCTCCGGTGGGGATCTTGTCCGGCACAACGGCCTGGTGCCTGACATAAGCGTCCTGAGCAGACATGGTGGTGTTGGGGACTCTACTGCGGAGATGTCTAGGCGGGATCGCGAAGTGAGGTTCACACGGGCGGCAAGTGCCGCATGCGGGCTTTGGCCTAGTGGCTCAGAGCTCCCGCGACGCCATTCTCTCTACTTTTATTTCCTTGGCGCGTCACACCCCATCACCCATCGACCAACTTCGTGCGCCAACAATGCGCGCCGGCCCCTTCACGTGCGCCCAACAACCACACCGATTGCGATCATGGCTATGAAAGTGGACGACATGGAGGACGTCAAGCCCACGGGCTTGTCAATGTCAAATGGCCTCGACGGCGCGTCCGCTGCGCATGCGACCGACTCGTCCAACGCACACGCCCGCCCGACTGTCGCCGACTTGCACGGAGAGAATCATTTCGCGCAGGTAGCGAGGAAGAACTGGCTCACTGCCAAGAAGACACCGAAAGTGCGACCCGAAGTGGTCAAGAAAGAGCTATGGGACGAGCTGGAGAATGTCGACTTCGCATACTCGTCGCTTCTGATTCTGGAGAACCTACAGCTTTTGGAGAGATATCTGTGGCCGGGCTTCACCGAAGATGCATCGAACTACCACCATCTGCTGTTGGCGCTTATGGTTAATGTCAAGAGGAGGGAGAACCTGGCATCATGGGGTGAGTCGCTGCAATTCCTAGTATGCACGACATGTACTGACGTTATATAGACCACTTTGCTAGCAAGCCCGCCGAATTCTCCTCCTTCTTCCGCCGCATACTGTCCATGACCGTAGACCCGTCGCAGCCGAGTAAGATCCGCACACAGCTCGTGTCCTTCGTTATCGGCGCCTTCCAATCACTCGACAGCGGTCTTGTGCGGAAGGAGTGCGCGCCTCTGGTCGGCATATCTATATGGCAGAACCTCCACTCGGACGCCGTGCGCGAGCAGTACTTTGAGGAGCACAGCATGTTGCGCAAGGCATGGAGGGCCGCATCCAAGCGATTCGATGCTGGCGACGAACCGCTGCAAGCCAGGTTACGGTTCGAGCGATCGTGGATCTACACACTGCTACTGGACTTCATCGACAGACTATACAACAGCACTAGCAGGGAAGAGGTTAGGGACAACATGGCTTACTGCGAGCGCTTCATGGAGCTTTTAGTAGATCTGCAGAGCCAGCTGCCAACAAGGAGATATGTTAACACGCTACTGCAAGACTTGAACATGCTCCCGGCCATTCGATTGTCGCCCATGTACACGGACGAGGATAACGGCCTTTTCCGGGACCTTTTCGACTTGCTGAGCCACTTCACCAACTTCCCCATCGAGGATCAGACAGGCCGTCAGTTGTCCAAGCTGGAGTACGACCAACAGCATTACGACACTCTGGCAAAGCTGCAACGGACGGGCTATGCTGCTTTTCAGGAGAAGCTTCAGTTGATGGCCCTGGCGAACTACAGCAGCATCGGAAACCGGGAAGAGCTGGATGGTCATCTGCGCACATTGAGCGACACCGAGCTCGTGGAGCTTTGCTCTCTCATGGGCCTACGGACAGAGTACCCCGCCTCGACCTACCTGGTGCGCGACCGAGCTTTCTACATGGAGACCTTGATTGCGCTTGTAGAAAAGCGACCGACTTTCAAGGATAATGTCCGCGAGATGCCCGTATTACCAACAGAGAAGGTCCTGTACGAGACTACCTTCCTGCGAAACGAGTCGTATGATGGGTCAAGACCGCTCGCTATACCCAAGCTGAACCTTCAGTACCTGACCATGGGCGACTTCTTGTGGAGATCATTTATCCTGTATCGCGCTGAGTCCTTCTACGGTATCCGGAAGGACATGGAGGACGTGGTGAAGCGCGTGAAGCCCAAGGGTAAAGGCGTCAACACCAAGTTCGGTGGCGTTTCCAAGATGTCACTCCCTATCATGAAGCCTGCTATCGTCGACGTAGCACCTTCCAAGGTAGGCGAGCAGCACCCAGCATACGTTCGTGCCGAGATCATATTGGACGTCAGTCGCCTGCAACACCCGGTTCGAAGGGATTGGGAACAGCTGAGACCGGATGATGTCGTCTTCCTCCTTGCTGTTGAGGGCAAAGACGACGTACCCATGCGCAATGGTCACCGCGAAGATGTCACAACTGGGGAACAGCTTGGCTTGCACCGGATGAGATGCGCACAGGTGGTTCAAGTTCTGGACGACAAAGGCCGGCCTCTGCGCGAACAAGGCCGCGATGACGGCTTTGGACCCCGGGTGCGTCAACGACGACTCCTTGTCAACATCGACGCGAAGCAGTACCAAGCCGACATGGACCAAACTGCCGAAGGAAGGCCAGACGTTTACGAGCACATCAACATGATTGTTCGTCGGAGAGGACGGGAAAACAACTTCCTGCCCATCCTGGAATCCATCAAGCGCCTGACCCTCTCAGACATCCCGGCACCCTCTTGGCTCCAAGAGGTCTTCCTAGGATATGGTGATCCTGCGTCGGCAACGTACAAGCGACTTCCTAACAAACTGAACAAGATAGATTTCCGGGATACCTTCTTGGACTGGCAGCACCTGATCGAGGCAATGCCTGGCAAGTCTATCGAACCCCACGAGGACGCACAGACATCGTTTGGGCCTCCATACGTTGTGGAGTACCCTGCTGCAGGTGAACCAAATATCGCACCTCCTCGAGCATCCAAAAAGCGGCGTCGCGACCAGAAAGTGGTTGCACAACCTCTGCATGAATCGCTTCACGTATCCTCGTACAAACCGCCGAACATGGGACCATACCCTGCAGATGCACCTAGGCTGAATGCGGTCAGATTTACACCTGCCCAAATTGAAGCCATCACCTCGGGCACACAACCTGGTCTCACGGTGGTGCTCGGACCCCCGGGTACCGGCAAGACGGACGTCGCGACCCAAATTATATCCAATCTATACCACAACTTCCCGGACCAGCGGACTCTGCTCGTCGCGCACAGTAATCAGGCGCTTAACCAGCTCTTCCAAAAGATTACTGCGCTTGACATCGATGAGCGTCATCTTCTGCGTCTGGGTCACGGTGAAGAGGACCTAGAGACTGATGTCAGTTACAGCAAGCATGGACGTGTTGAGTCGTTCCTCGAGAGAGGGCAGTACTATCTGTCTGAAGTCGATCGGTTGGCGAAGAACTTCAATGCGCCCGGTGCTCATGGTAGCTCGTGCGAGACTGCAGATTACTTCAACCTTGTTTATGTGAAGCCAGCATGGACGCAATACTGGGATAGTGTTACAACCGAGGACACAAGTGTTGACCAGATAATCACTGAGTTCCCATTCAGAGACTACTTCTCAAACGCACCGCAACCTCTCTTCCCTCAAGCAGCAGATCGCGAGCAAATTCTTGAGATTGCGCAAGGCTGCTACCGCCATGTCGAGAAGATCTTCACTGAGCTTGAGGACATTCGTCCGTTTGAGATCTTGCGGAACCCGCGGGATAAGGCAAACTATCTGCTGATCAAGGAAGCCCGTATTGTTGCCATGACATCGACACACGCTGCTATGCGGAGACAAGAGATTGCTTCATTAGGCTTCCACTACGACAATGTCATCATGGAAGAAGCCGCTCAGATCACCGAGATCGAGAACTTCATTCCTCTCGCACTGCAAAACCCCAAGGATGGCGAACTTCCTCTCCAGCGCATCGTGCTTTGCGGTGACCATCTCCAAAACTCGCCTGTTATTCAAAACCTCGCTTTCCGCCAGTACGCCAATCTGGAGCAATCTCTCTTCCAACGACTCGTTCGCCTCGGTGTGCCGACTATCATGCTCGACCAGCAAGGTCGTGCTCGCCCGTCCATTGCCGAACTCTACAAGTGGCGCTATCCCTCTTTATCGAACCTGCCCTCCGTTCTGGCCAAGCCCGAGTTCCAAATAGCCAACCCAGGCTTCAAGCACGAGTACCAGTTCATCGACGTCCAGGACTACAAGGGCAAGGGTGAAGACCAACCCACACCGCACTGGATGATCAACCTGGGCGAAGCCGAGTACGCAGTCGCGCTCTTCATGTACATGCGTCTCCTGGGTTATCCAGCAAGCAAGATATCCATCTTGACCACGTATGCTGGACAGAAGAGTCTGATCAACGACGTGTTGGGGCACAAGTGCAAGAACAACCCCCTGTTCGGTCGCCCGAAGATTGTCGCGACGGTGGACAAGTACCAGGGTGAGCAGAATGACTGTAAGTACTACCCAACCTCTCTAACCTCGATGTGTACTAACGTATTTTCAAGACATCATCCTCTCCCTAGTCCGCACCCGCGCAATCGGCTACCTCCGCGACATCCGGCGCCTCACCGTCGCCCTCTCGCGCGCGCGTCTGGGCCTCTACATCCTCGGCCGCCGCTCCGTCTTCGAATCCGTCTTCGAGCTCAAACTCGCCTTTGACATCCTCCTCCAACGCCCCGACAAGCTCACGCTCGTCACCGACGAAATGTTCGGCGAAACGCAACGACCTGCCGAGCAAACTGCGCCTGTGGAGGGCGAAGCCGAGATGCAGGATGTAGAGCATTTGGGCAAATATGTGTATGAGATGACCAAGGCGAAGGTCGAGGCTATGAAAGCGAATGGAGGGGTTATGCCCACGAGAGAGGTTACGATGGGGGAGGCGAATGGTGGGGCCAAGGATGAGGATGAGGATGATGATAGGCCTGAGAATGTGCTTATTCCTGAGGAGGTGAATGAGGAGTTTGATGATGAGGAGGAGGAGGATGCGGTCGTGGTTTAACGTGGAGAACGTGAGCCAAAGTAAAAGATTTGAAGGTGGATTGCATGATATGGGGATGGAAGGATGGGGTATTGCATAAATTGGCGTAATGTTTTTGTGTTTAGTTCTTATTTTAGGGGTTTCGATGAGTTGGAGTGCAGATGTAGGGAGACGAAAGATACCAGATCGATCATCGCCCGAGTGGCATGCACATTGCTTGCTCGAAATCTGCTTTGGTATGTGATGGTGTGGAATTGCGATGCTCTCATGTCTCGTTTCGATAATGGTTTGTCGTCTGAGAGGACCAGCGCTCTCCACAGTCATGTAGTCGTCTAGATTCTTTTTTGTTCATTTAAAGGCTCGGAGGGAGAGAGAAAACATTTGAAGTCGTCATCGAGCGTTTGAGAAACGACACAGGAAGAAAGCATGTTTTGGTGATGCCTTAGATTTTGAGGCAAAGCACGCGAGACACCGATCATCAGCACTCAGTAGAGACCTTTTTAGAGAAGAGCAGGAGATCTTCCATCGTGCTTTTTGGTCCAGGTTTGGAGTTTGGAGCTTTTACGCAGAACGATGGCATAAAGCTTAAAAATCAGAGTTTTTGGTATGCTTGGAGAGAGGGCACAAGAGGGAAGGCTCAGATCATTTCGCACTTCCATTTCTTGTTTTGGAGGACAAGAAAACGTTTTAAGTGCTATCGAGTTTGAGCGCAGGAAGACAACATTCCGTACCGAAGGTGTACTTTTGGAGAAGACAGAAAGGCAGAGTCCGTCTCATAGTAGGGTTTTCACTTAGTTTTGGAGAATGGGAAGTAGTTTTTGGGTATGCGCTTTTTGAGCTTCTGGAGCAGGAAGCCGACATATTACAGTACGCGGCGATTTTGAGGAAAGAAGCAGGAGGATCCAGACCATAACATGAGTTAATACCTCTTTTTGGTGGATAAAAGAAAGTTTTTGAATAAGAGAACAATAGTCGGCGAAGAGAGAAGGTGTTTATATACCCGTCTCCGTCTAGCGCATTTGTAGTATAGACTAGCAAGCCGTAGATAGGTCTCATAGGTATGTTGAATGGCGGTTTAGAGGTAAGCGCGAAACAGTGTGGGGAGCAGCAGGACGGCGCACGGCACCATTTAGATAATGTTGGTTGCTTTTGGTAGTTCGAAAGGGAGGATTTGGTTCGGAGAAACGACATCAACAGTTTTCCTGGATTTTTGAGTGTAATTCTGGAGACAGAGGAAGATTCCGGCTCATCGAAGCTGATCAAAGAGTTTTTGGGTAAACTCAGAAGAGTGCGGTAGATAGAAGAAGAGGGGGAGCAAAGCTGGAGACTGTTTATATACCTAGGTATGGTAGGCGCCCTCGAACTGCACACGTCTCTCATAAACAGCCGCTGCTGTATTTTGGAGGTACTTTTCATCTTGTGTGAATGAGTCGAGAACAGCGCCACAACCATCCCAGTGTTGCTTTAGGTTTTTTGGTCCTGTGGACTAAGATTCTGAAGCAGGAAAGACCAAGGCTTTGGAGAAAGAAGAGAGCGCTCGGTCTCATGTCCCGAAGGCCCCGGTATTTTGGAGAACACAAACAATTTTGTGGATGGAAGAAGAGCATGGAGCAGTGTATGTAGTCGTTTATATACCGTAGCCCTGCTACGAGCTAGTCCAAAGCTGTATGATGTAGGCCTGGAGAAAGACTTGGGTGCAGAGAAGCAACATGGCGTTTTCTCCTTTGTCTTTCGATGTTGGACGTGGAGACAGGGCAGGAAACTGGTCTCATGGCATCGTCACTTGTTGCTTTTGCTGAATGTAGAAAATCGAGTAAGTATAGAAGGAACAGAAAGCAACGAATCAAGTGGTGGTTTATATACACATATGCATACTATGAGCCAGAACCGGAAATCTCTCATCCTAGGGTAACTCCGGTTTTTTTGGTTTTGGAAACAGTGAAGTTGCTGCAGCAAAACTTCTCGCACGAGAACATTGGCAGTCGAATGAGGGACTTTTCGTGTGTTGCATGATGCGCTGATCTGGCAAGCCGCGTAGTCATGCCGTCTGATCTGGTAGGTTTTAGACAGCCAGACAGCTTCTCCGAAACATTTCCTATTTCGAGTCGGATTTTAAAAAGGAGAGGCACAACAGACCATTCTTTCAGGTCTTATCGTTTTCGGAAAATAAAGAGGAGTAATGGAGAAGAAGAATCAAGTCCACCGACACACGAGGTTTTATATACGGCATCCGGGATGTCAAGTCATATCGAACAGTGTTTGGAGTTTGAGACCGTTGGAAGAGTACTGGAATCATGATTCGACTAAGTTCACTTTTTTGGAAGAGAAGCGAGGCAGATCATGTCCGGAACTGATCTGGATTTTAGAGAATAAGGCAATACCATGAAGAAGAGGAGCAGATTCTATTGATGTGAGGTTTTATACACGACGCCCAAGACGCCAAGTCATTTTGACCACTCTTTGAGGTTTGAGATCGCTGAACAAGTGCTTGGAACCATGATACGTTGGGTAACTTGTTTTAGAAAGACAAAGCGCGGCAGAACATAGTCATGTTGCCTTGCGGTTTTGATCCTTCTTTGGGTAGTAAGGTAATATGATGGAGTAGACAAGGGAAAGTCGGATTTCCGCGATGTTTCATACACGATGCCAGGCACTAGAGACAGGAAGTCTAGCCGTATTCTGCCCCGCAGAGACAGAAGACATGATTGCTCGTGAAATATTTTTCTTGTCTTTCGACAAACTCAGACATTTCTCTTCTCTGATGGCCTTTAAGTGCAGACTTCCTGGATTTTATGCTAGAGACAGAAAAGCCGTTACCGCCGACATTCAACTAACAATCGGCAGTTTTCGAGATCTGGGAGTAAGGTAGTTGTCTCGAAGGAGAATTTTCGGACGCAGACGGCGGCGATCATATATTCGTCGCGTGCCGATCAGAGACAGCACCATGTATTTGATGTGTACGGTTTTTTGGGCGCCTCGAGGCAATGGGCAGCAGCATGTAGCAGGTGATAGTATGTTTTGATACAAAAGGAAGGAAGACGAACTCGCACATGCTGCATATGGAACAGGGTTTCGGTAAAGAAGAGAGATACCGGTAAATGAGGAGTGAAGGCGACTAACTGTCGCAGTTTATATATCGACAGCCGGACCATCTCAACACATATAAACATTAGTACCCTTTGTAATTTTCTGAGATGGAAGCGCGAAGGACGGACTCGCACATCTTTTGGTAGGCGTTCAATTTTGAGTATGCTTGTGGGAAACTGGTACTTAGGTAATACTAGTGGCTCAATGCTGGATTTTGTCTGACAGCAGTGTGGCGTTCAGAAAACATAGGGCTTTGTGCTACAATTTCGAGCTCAGACGCATACGAGCGTTATAAAAGTCCTTCTGGTACTTTGGTATAAACGCGGGGAGGGCAGACGCGCACATCGTACACTTCCCCACTTCTTTCTTTTGGAGGTTTTCAGTATGATTGTGGATGAAGAGTGGAAGAGAGCACACGGCGTGCTTTATACAGGTCGAGGCATAGCTCCCCAAGAACATGCAAATTTCTTTTCCCATCTTGGAGCTCAGAAACATGCGAAGCTACTGGGTGCTTTTTGGATTTTTGATGTAAAGCTGCGAAGTGCAGACGCAGACAACACATCAACCTGGCATAGTGGACTTTTCGGATTTTAGGTCAAAGACAAGTAGATGAAGTGTAGAAGTGCGCACACGCTGTGCTTCATAAAAACTTTGTCGAGTTTTTTTGAAGCACACACGGAATGGTGGAAGGAGCTCAGTCGATTGAGAGAGACATGCACCAGCTTCTGTTCTGTTTTTGATGTTCTGTCTGGGTGGAAGAAGACATCGAAAGAAGTTTCGAGTTTTTTTTGGAGTGCGCTCCAGGCAGGAGGACTGCCACATGTGCTGTACACCACCCACTTTCGAAGATGTACCGATATCATGCGTAATGAAGAAGAACAGCTTTGCTAAGAGAGTAGATGGTTTTTATACTTGAAGTTGCAGTCAAAAACACCACACGATGAGAGCATGCGCGCGTGTGCCCATCGTGAACTGCTTCTCAGCCGCAACCCGAACATGTCGGAACAAACTTCACGATTCACTTCCCCGCATGCAGCCAACGCGCCCAATTATGCAGACGCCCAATTCACGCGTCATGTTCATGCCACGCCCAAGAGCCAAGCCTAAAAGACGGAGTCTGAAACCGATAAGCGAAAGCCGGTCGATCCCAATGTCCAGACGCGCGAGTCACGCAACAAATGTCCTGAGGCCCCACATCCTCCCGTCAAAACTGCAGGATCGTGAAACACAAATTACCCCACCCTCGCCCGTGGACCGGGGTCGCTCGTCATGTTCTGGAACCTACGATTACAGGTACAAGCTTGCGCAGTTGCAAATGTCGCTGTTTCAAACACTTGTCAGCGCACATCCCAGACGTCCCAAACACCAGGGCACAAGCACCAGGAACAACCCGCCGGTGCGGAATCGGGAGCAAGAAGAAACAGAGCACGTACCGTTTGATGAGTTCCTGACACGTTCCCATTTTCTGGAAAAGCGTCGGGTCGCCGATAATCCGAGCCGCGTTCTTGACTTCGCGGCACGTCTCGTCTAGTCGGGTGATGACGCGGACAATGGTGCCCTCCATGACATCTGTCAGGTCTGTTATGCGATTGAATGACATGCCTCGTGCCCACTCATACACCACTTCGACCATGCCGAAGCGGGGCTTGCTGACAAAGTCATTCGAATCATCAGCCGAGAGGATAACCTGGTGCAGAGTCTGTATCTTGTTGACCTTTTCGGAGATCTCAACAATCTTTGCGACGCCGCGTTCCAGATTTGCAGTTAGCGTAGGCTCTACGTCGGTCTTCTCTTGGAAGACAAACGCCGAGAGTAGTGCGACGATTTCTTCCGGTTCGTACTCGGCGAGGACGTTTTCTAAAACGAGCTCGGTAAGGACCAGCTCATCGGCCGAGTGGATCTGAAAGCTGTCAGTGGATGGGTGGAGCTTGAAGTCAGTGTCAAGCATACCTCGCACGCTACCTTGCCCTTCAGCTCTACGCGAGAACCTTCGTCAATAAAGCCGAGATCCTTGAGTACCTGTATGCGCTGTTCATAGTCAGGGAGTAGCTGTAGATTTTGGTCTGACATGAGCTGGCGGAGAGCAAGGATGTTTTCCTTGATCAGCCATTGATCGTGCTCCATGGTGAACTACAAAGATTAGCATGGGTTGAGAACACTGCCGAACGCGAACACGTACATGTTTCAAGAAGTTTGGGCATTTCAGACATTCTTTGCTAACCGCATTCAGTCCTTCTTTCCTGCGGGCTTCCTCCAGTTCACGGAACTTGAGGCTCTTGATCTTGCTGTAATCGTACTCATCCCAGTCTTCGTAATCCCATGATCCACACAAGGGCAGGAATTGGGATTCAGCCAGCTTCAATGTGTCTGACGAGGCTGTTAGCGCCGGACCCAGACAGTAGCGCACCCACTTACCTTTCTTGCGATTCAAATTTTGAACAGAATCAGGAACATCGATGATGGTCTTGGTGAAGCACTCGATGTCGTTCAGGGGTACGTAGGCTGCCTTCAGGATCAAGTCCTTGGGACTGTTCGGTAGTTTGCGGAAGTGCTTCGCAAAGGGACCGAGATACGGCAAAAGGTCGTCAGGCTGACGATCGTGATGCTGCGCCACCTCCAAGACTTTGACTGTAGGCTCGTTGCCCTTGCTAGTGCCATCTTGCATTAACATACCCGCTGTTCGTTTGTTGTCCTGACTGCGTGAGTAATGAGCTAATTTGAAAGCGAAAGTGAAGCGTGTACCTTCTTGTATACGATCAACCTGTTCTTTGACAAAGCTTTCCTGCCGATAGGGTTGATGAGAAGACTGAGGTGCATCTCATTGGTTAGTCGCTTGTAGTCCTCACAAGACTGGTGGCACGCCTCTAGGTCGATATCGCAGATATCACAAGGTTCTCGCTTGATCTTCTCCAACTCAGCCTCCGAGACCTTGACCTTGCCTTGATGTTCAGGCAGTAATGCTTGAGTGGCATTCTCACTGAAACTTCGCTTGATCATCTCTTCAATCTTCAGGGCTTCTACACGCAGAAGGTTCAGCATCATGTTGTAGGTGAGACGGAACTGTGATCTCAGCTTCGTGGGTTCCCCCAGCATCATCTGACGGAGTCTGGCTGCTGGTGGCGCCTCATCGGCCCCAGGCGCGCAGATGATGACAGTGCCGACTGTGTCAAGTCCTCGCCGACCTGCACGACCGGCCATCTGAGTGTACTCGCCGGGCAGCAAATCACGGAACTCGCGGCCGTCGTGCTTACGGAACCCAGAGAACACAACTGTCCTGGTAGGAAGATTAAGGCCCATGGCGAAAGTTTCCGTGGCAAAGAGAACCTTGACAAGCGTCTTCGCAAAGAGGATCTCAACAACCTCCTTGACGATCGGCAACATACCACCGTGATGGACGGCAATACCTCGACTGAGCAGCTCTCTCAGCCGCTTGATCTGAGGGAGCTCGCGGTCTTCCTTGCTCAGTCGAGCCAGTGACTTCTCAATGGTCATATGTATCGCACTCTTCTCCGCAGCATTGCAATAGTCGATGTTAGACAGCGCTTCAGCATTTTCCTCGCAGCGCTTCTTGGAGAAGACGAATATGCAAGCAGGCAGGAGATCCTTGCTTCGGAGATGCTGTATGAGGTGGACCCAGATGTTTCTATCCTGGGCGGCAGTCGTACGACCGCCACCACGGCCCGTCCTTGCGATATTACCTCGGCCTCTAGCAGCGGGCGGGCCTCCACCGCGAGGTCCCCCTCGACCGCCACCTTGTTGACCTCGTCCGCGTTGGTTCTGGCCTCCTCTGGCGGGTGGGCCTCCACGACCACCACCGCCCCTGCCGGCTTGCGCATCGTTTGCAGGAGGTGCCTTGACCTTGTCTTTACCAGACAGGATATCGTTCGCATCTTTCCAGCCATTATCGATGAACTTCTTGTCTGCTGTAACGATCTTGTGGATGCCTTTGCCAGCCCATAGGTAATGCTCCAGAGGAATTGGGCGTTTCGGAGTAGAGATGACGTAGATGTCTTTCTTCTTTGTTCGACCCACCCAAGACGCGAACTCATATGTGTTGGGTACGGTGGCGGACAGTAGAATGAGTGTTACGTGCTCCGGCAGCATTATGATGACCTCTTCCCATACGACACCTCGCTCGAGATCGTTGACATAATGCACTTCATCAAAGATGACAAACTCGACGTCTCTGATAAGGTCTGCTCCTCGGTACAGCATACTTCGAAGAATCTCGGTGGTCATGATGAGACAGCTGGCTTCGGGCCTGATCTGCACGTCTCCCGTGAGAATGCCGACATCATCAAATGTTTGGCGGAAGTCGCGGAACTTTTGATTACTGAGAGCTTTGATGGGAGAAGTATATATAGCTTTCGTCATATGCTTTGCAGCAAGCGCGATGGCGTACTCTGCAACCACGGTCTTGCCGGCAGACGTATGTGCGGCTACAAACACAGAATCGCCATGCTCAAGATGATAAACTGCTTCTTTCTGGAATGTATCGAGCTCAAAGGGATACTCGCGCGCCATTTCCGGAACAAGTTCTCGGAAGTTAGTAATGTCGCGGTTGATGTCAACCATGTGAGCCCACTCTCGTCCGCCCTTCCTTCCAGCACTCATGGCAAGTGGACCATGAGGTGCCAGAGCAGGGAACTCTACTGGCAACAAAGCATCGATCTCTTCGTCTCCAGCATCTTGGTCTTCATCAGGTTCCCCATTTGCGCCAGTCTTGTCGTTGACATCCTCGTCATCCGCATCAGTATCCTTGGGAGCTGCAGATGCTTCACCCAAGGTATCTTCGACCTCCTGAGCAGTCTTGGCATCCGTAGTTGGCTTCTTCTGGAAGTCAAGACCACGCGTGAAGCCAGGCGGCACCTCCAGTAAGCCACCTTCAGCACTGAAGTTGATGACTCTGTCGAGACCGCCACTCTTTTTCCCATTCGCACTCTCTTGCTGCTGGATTGCTTCATCCTCAATGGCAGCTACTGCTTCCACGCCATCAAGGCCGCCGGGGGCGAATGGAAAGAAGCCAGCTGCACCACGCACGAATTCAGCTCTGTTAGCAGGCTTCCTGAGAAGCGAAGTAGAGTTCTTGGCTGTTGCTGAGTTTGCCGGAACGGTGACTTCCTTGTATCCAGTGACGCGGCCTTCTAGTCCCTCGCGTGTGAAGCGGATGATGGTCCGGGTCTGAGTTGGGGCGATCTGGAACAGGCTTCGGTAATTGGTAGGTGCATCCCAGCGCTGCTGAAGCTGATTCAGCCACTGCGTGTTGAAGGATTTGGAGGGTGTTAGAAATTCTTGCTCCAATTCCTTCTTGATGGCCTCTTTGGTTTTCCGCTGTCGCTTGGGTGGCCGCTGTTCGCCAGCTATCGAATCTATTCCATCCTCGTCGAGGTTGCTGCTGCGTAGCCGCAGCTTTTCCAGTTCTCCAGACAGAGCCTCCATAATCGCGAGTTGAGTGCGAATCTGGTAGGGTACTGTGCCTGTGGGATTGTGGCGCGACCGAGTGAGAAAATGGATGACGTTGTTCGGCGCGCCAAGCCGTGTCAGGAAGGACCCACCTAGGCACTTCCCCCGCCATACACAGCGTCGGTGCTCCTAGCATGTAAGATTCAACACGTCGTACCTGCATATGCACCACGAGTAAGATAGATCCTAGGAGAGCCCGCGATAAGCCCATGATATAGTAGGGTATGCCCAGGAATAGCAGAGTTCTTATCTCTAAGCTGCACATAGTGTCTAATTGGGTATAGAAGGCTACATGGTAGCCGATTCCAACTGCTAATCATAGCTCATCGTCACTTCATGACCGAGCGCCATCGCTCGTATGGTATTATCCCCAAACGCCGCGCTATGATTGATCAAAATCTGTTTGCAACATCGCGTAGCTGCTCAATCCCACATGTCGTCCATCTCTGCCATTGCCTCCATATCGTCCGCAAAAGGATCGTCTTGGGTGGGCATCGGCCGTGTTGGGAGTGTCTTGGGTGCTGTGTAGCTGGGCTGTTCGCTCTCAGCTAACAATGCATCTAACTCGTCGTCGTCGGGGTCCCCGCTCTCTGGAGATTCCGCTGCATCGCCTGTTGCATTGCGCGTAGATGCCTCCCGTTCTGTTTGGTGGCCTGCGTCTTCTTGGCCGCCATTCTCGACGCCCTCCATGTCTTCGGTGCTCTGTTGTGGGGTCTTCTCTCGGGTCGCATCATCGTCGTCTTCATCCTGTCCTGTGTTGCGTCGCGGTTTGCCTTCGTCAATCCAATCCTTCCGCATCAGCTGCATGCGCTTCGTATGGCCGACCTTCTCGATGATGGCTAGGGCGTCGGCAAACTTGGCGCGGGGGTAAAGATCGTCGAGCCACAGCTGGTACATGTTCAGCATACGGGCAATGTCTCCATACTGGAATTGAGTTAGTCGGTGGGTCTACTTGTTCAAGATAAACGTACCTCATGACCCTTCCCTTTGAAGCGGAGGCGATCCTTTGAGATCTTGCGCAAGCGGGGAATTCCAGGATCAGACAGCAGCCGTTGATCATCGAGCTTCGGCGCAGGCTGGCGCTTTTTTGTGATGACAATCTCTTCGTCAACGCCTAGGCCGCCCGCAGCATCGCTGTTCTTGTTGCTTCGGTACTGCGGCTGTGGCGGGTTCTCGGTCGATTGAATGGGTTCTTCGGGATTCGTGACGTCTTTGAGAATGTCGTCGAGGTCATCGTCAGAGTCGTGGGTGGCCATTATATCTGGTGAGGGCTATTGTGGGTGTATTGGGGTCGGTATCTTCGTGGATCATCAAGTTCCCATCGCGCGACGCGTCGGACGCGTTCAGTCATACGCACGGACCCATGATCACTAGCCGAATGTGGCGCAACTAGATCTTTGTCTAGGCAGGGTCCAACCAAGCTCTCGAATGCAGCTTTGCGATCACACATCGTCTTCACTAACCTGACATTTGCTATAACCACTACCGCCTCTCCCGCTGCTATTATTTTGCGACTATACGTTTGCTGCTCAGACGTCACGTATCGCAGCTGTACCGTGGTGCTACTGCCTTTGCGACAGCGGGTTTGCGGCTCGTGATCGAGGCCCAACGCGCCCTAGACCTCATACAATGGCAGCACCAAATGTGCTTTCCGCCGACGCGGTAGCTCCAAGACTCGACTTCTTACTACGGCGTGCCCGTGTTGTCAAGCAGAGTACTGCCATCGATCCTCCACTCCAAGTTTCTGAGCTTGTACCGGAAAGCGAGCCTCTGCTCGGCGAGATCGAAGGAGGGAAGGAAGTGCGAACACTTGCGGTTGAGAGTGCAGCCAAGAGTGTATTCTATGCCAATCTTGTTAGTTATTATGCCACGGAATCAGCTCCGCCAGTTGCTTACATGTTCAGGGTTCCACGCAGATTGAGGAGCCGGCCTTCGTAACCGTCTGGAATTTACTCGACATCCTCCAGTACTGTGGAGATCGGGGTAGGTTCTTTTGCCGCACTGTCTGAATCTTGCCTGACCTTCCCAGACCTCTGCCATCCGCAGCTTGTACTGTTGCTCATCGAAGAACTACTTGACAGCCAATCCATCTCGGGATGTCGCACGGTATTCAATTTCCTCGAATCTCGGAGAGAGACCATTATTGCGGTATGTCGTCCCTGTTACTATTTTTAACTATTCTCATCGTGCCGCAGATCAACTCCAAGAATAAGGATCTTGTCATCTTACGGCTGTGCAATGAGCTGCTCCGCCGGCTGTCTCGCGCGGAAGATCCGGTATTCTGTGGCCGCGTCTACATCTTCATGTTTCAGAGCTTTCCCTTGGGCGACAAGAGTTCGGTAAATCTGCGGGGCAATTTCCACGTGGAGAATGTGACGACATTCGAGGACTTCCTCAAGGAATCGAATACGGACGAAGACTCTATGCAGATCGATGCTGATGGGTCTGTTCCTGCTCCCAAGGAAGAGTCAAAGTCAGAGGAACCAGTCATTCAAACTGAGGATATCGACAAGAGCAAGGACGCGAAACCTACGACACTTGACACTGAGACCCTCTATCCAGTATTCTGGTCATTGCAACACTCCTTCTCTAATCCACCCAGGCTTTTCGAAGAAGATAATTTTAAGCAATTTCAGAAGAGCTTGGAGGCGACGCTAGCCAAATTCAGGGAAGTGCCCAAAGTGATCCAGGCCGGAGATTCAGAACGAAAGAAGGGACAAAAGTCGCGAGACGATGACGACTACGATGCATTCGCCAACTCCTTTAATCCTAAATATCTTACAAGCCGTGATCTCTTCAAGCTCGAGGTACGCAAGATTGCCACTATCAATCTTGCGCTAGGACTGACAATCTCCAGCTGAGCGATCTCGCCTTCCAACGCCACATCCTTGTCCAAGCACTGATACTCATCGACTTTTTGTTGACTCTGACCGAGGGGTCCAAGAGCAAGCCATTTTACCAGAATGCGCAGAAGGCGATGCAATACAACTTCACATTGCGCGAGGAAGACGTAAGTGCCCATCATTTGCCTCTTCTCACACCCTCCGTCACGCTCTCGTGCTCGCTTCGCTGTCCATGATCATCATCTTCTCGGCTGACCACAAAGCACAGACCGAGTGGGCATTGGGCATCAAGACGGCTATTGCAAATTACCTGCAGGAAGGCCCAGATGGCAAATTCTACTACCGGATGGTGGACACCGTGCTTTCCCGCGACAAAAACTGGGTACGATGGAAGATGGAGAACTGCCAACCATTCACCAGAGATCGAGTCCCCACAACGGACTTCCAACAAGCCAAATCTGGGGCGCAGAAAGCTGTTGTTGGTAAGAAGGCGTCCAAGCCCATGGGTGTTCCCAGCAGCTTGAATTTCCTCTACAACAATGAAGCGGATAAGGGTCTCTCTCAACTACGGCAAAGCGACAGGTACGTGCTCCGCTCGTCCGACTGACACTCGATCCCAGCTTCTGACGTCCAGTCAGGTTCAATGTGCCGAATGCAGAGTCATATGCAAAAAAAGTGAAGATGACCGACTTGGATTTGGAAATGACTGACGCAGAGGACGAGAAGCGGCAAGCGGGGGAAAAGAAGTCCAGCTACATCTGGCGAGGTCTTCGCGTGGCTTCGAAGACGCAGCTAAGCTCGTTCGATAGAATCGAGCATGGCAAAGGCCTCGAGGCTCTTCAGCCGGCCACCTCTTCCACTGAGGCGACGGGCGTTGACGCTGCACCCACTGCTTCGGAAGACCAGGGGGCTATTCCGCAAGACGAGCATCAGAGCGTCGAGGAGCAGCGGCCCGACCAGCGTAGTCAAGTGACTGCGGAACCAGCGGCGTAGTGGTAGCAGCGACAGGGGCAGTGTCGCCTGCGCCAGCTCGGTATGAATTATCGACGGCTCTTGAGAAACACATGAGCTTTTCCTCATACGTTACTGTGCAGTATGGGGAGCATTGTGGCGCTTTCCCATCGAATTTATCGCTGCAAGCGAAGAGAACATGGGGTTCATCTCCCCGAGCCACTCTCAGCGTATCGATAGATCGGAGGCCAGTCATAGTGTGAGCGACCGCACAGCCGGTCGCCAACGGCGCCCCTCAACCTGCAACGCCACGACTGGAGGTCGGAAGGCTGTGTGCGGCGCGAGCAGGCAGTGGAGATGAAGAGCCCCATGCTGATGAATAGAAGTCTTCGCAATATAGCCTCATCGCGTGGGAATGTAGGCCGTTTCCCGGGACTCGCTCTGATGTAACCACGATGGCAAGATTGTGGCTCTCGTGCCTGGCTAAGCATGACGGAGTGTCCAGGCCCTTGAGGAATGCTCTGATCACAGATGTGCCGTGATGCGCCGGGGTGGGGCCGTCTTCAGGCTCATTGAATGAGTTGTCAGCACAAAATCCACCTACGTGGGAGATGCTGCATGATTCCGAAATGAAGGGACCTGTACGACCTGACACGACCGTTCAGCGCAGTCCGAGGCTTCCAAGGTTCTCTGCGGTGGACTGGCACGCGGTGGGACCACCTCATGATGACATGACAAGTTGCGAACCACACGGCGGCCACGGGCCCAGACTGCTGGCAACGGATCGCAATCATATTCAATGCATTATGTTCGCGAGAGGGACCGAAGCATAAGGACCAGAGGCAGGCATGTTCTGCCGACACTGGACAGGCACCCATGCGCTCATCAAACCCACACAAGTGTTGCGTCCCCCACCAATGGCCCGCCAGCGTATTCGCGGTTTCGCTATCGCTTGCTCCTGTCATTTCCACAGGCCGTCCCCATCCGCCAGCCGGGCGGTCTTGGCGTTGTTTGGGAAATCGACCGCGACGCCCTGCCGGCATCGCGTTTTGGAGATTGCGTGTGCGCAGCCGGCGACGTGCTTTTTGTCGTTGCGAAACGGGCCAAACGCTGGCGGTTACCCGCGTGCTTCACAGGCAGCGTGCAAAAACAATATGCGCCGGTTCAGGCAATGCGACCGCAGACGGCGCGAGGCGGACAGTGTGCATCATTCGTCACGGGCGCTGGCCGCGGTATCGGCTACACGTTCAGGTCTGCTTTGGACACGGGCGATGGCGATCACGACGGAACGGCGCAGCAGGGGTGGCTTGCGCATCGCCCATTTTTCCCTGCAGTGCGGCCGAGCAGACTGTTGCGGTGCGCGCAGCCTCGCTGGCAGGTCATTCGCGCGCTCCAGCACCGTTTCAGCGCGCTTGCTTGGACACGCACTTCCAAACACGTTACGATAACCACCGCTGTCACCCAACTACCGACAGCCCACCAGCGTCGCACACAGTCGCACTACAGCGAGAACAGGCTTCGAGAAACAGCCAACTTCAGCATTTTCCCGGCGCGGGCCGAGCTTTTGGCCGTTAGATCGTTGTTAGCCCAGCCAGATCTGTTGCGCGCTGGTGACCCCCCGCTGCCCATTGGCGACGGCGTCATTGCTAGCCGCTCGACTGCTCACCACACTGAATCAAGCAGGTGTGCAGCAGGAACACACATGTAGCTAGACGCGGTTCCTTGGTTGCCGGCCAGCATCATGGGTCACGGCTGAAGACGACCAAGGTTCGCTGTTCATGCATCTGAGCGGGCGCGATGGGCGGCTCAAACCACTGGCACTGGCAAGGCTGATGCACCGCGTTCCTGACGCATACGCAATTTGCGATCCGTCGTCAGTAACATTTGACAGGTGCCAGAAGAAGCACTGGGGAGCCACCGGCCCAAGGCGGCCTGGTCCACCACCCAGCACGACGTCGTCGTGTGAAGGTTTGTGGTTCGACGACAGTAGCAGCGAGTACACGAACCTGGCGGCACCAAGTCCGACCTTCACCACCACACCACCATCTCGTCCGTTCATAAACCACACTAAAGCAGCATTGACAGCAACACCCCGCAACAAGCCGTGCAAGCGTTGCCGAGCCCTGTAACATCCCTGCGCTTTCTCGCTGCGGGTTCCTTGGACTTCCCGCATCGCATCTGGCCAATAATGGCGCCGCCGCCTGCCTCGACGTTCGACTGCGAGACGCCACGGATCAGTCCTTGCTCGTCGGCCATTTTTCTACACGGGCCCTGGTCTATGCATGTAGCCTGCAGCCCACCATGTTCACGCACCGCTCGCTCCCCTTCCCTTTCGAGGGGAGGGCACCCTGGCATGCAGCACACCTGATCCAGAGCCTTTCGATTCGCCCGTTCCCGCTCCGTCTCTCCTTCGTAGTAGGCCCACGTCCCGAGCTACCGTATCCCTGTGCCCTGAGCCTTTG